TGTTAGCAACATTATACATCATTAACTGGAGAATTGGATTCACCAAGTTCTTGTATTTTGTGAGTTATATCAATTCTGTTTAATAAGTTGGGTAAGTCAAATTAATGAGAGTACTCTGCAGAAAGTTGTGATGTGTGATACACATATACTCTGAGTGAGAAAATGCAACATAATTTTCAGTTTTATACAAAGAGACTATGTGGGGTCTAAAACTGACTACTGTGAGTTAGAGGATTATGTAAAAACTTTGATCAAGAATTTAGTAAGCCACCTGCATAATATATTTATAACAGTTATAGTTCCTTATGAAAATGTAAATTAGTTACATCTGGACTGTTTACACAGGTAAATAGCAGTTTACAAAAAGCTGTTTCAAAAAGACAGCTAAGTAAAACTTTTGACATATTAACCTTTTGCAAACTTTGTAATGTATATTATCTTGTCTTTAGGACAGGAATACTATAATAGTGTAGCCATTTCCAGAGAAATCTTATCATTTTTCCTTCCCTGTTCAGTTTATTAAAAGCCCCAAGGAACAGTATTTTGTTTCATTATAAGTAGGCTGCTAAGCATAATAATATAATAAATGCAAGTAAATAGAACTTATTTACATATAAGCACATATAAGATTAAGCAAATGAGATGGGCGCAGAATTTTGGTGAGCCAGTTTCACTGGATACCTGGGAAATTATTTGGGTGAGAAATGTCAAATTTACGCAAGCACAGAATTTAAGGGAGAATTTTTATAAAATGTTTTATAGATGGCACCTTGATCCACAAAAAATGTCTCTTATGTACCCTGACTTAAAAGCTAAATGTTGGAGATGTGATTGTATGGATGCTACCTATTATCATATCTGGTGGTCGTGCAGAGAGATAAAAGCATTTTGGATTAAGATATGGTGGAATATCCAGAGAATTTTTAAAAGGAGGGTAAAATTTACTCCGCAATTATTTTTATTAGGTATAGTTACTGATTGTGATACAAAGGAGGTTATATTGATGTTAAATTTGATCACAGCTGCGAGGCTGTTAGTAGGACAATATTGGAAGAAGGAATCTTTGCCTACATTGCAGGAATGGTTTCTTAAAGTGTCTTATTTGGCGGAAATGGCAAAGATTTCGGCTTTCTTAAAGGGACAAACGCAAGAGAAATTTCTTGCTGTTTGGGATAAATGGATAAAATTTATACAATTTAAATTTGATATAAAAAAATATTATATAGCTTTTTCATAATTTTTAATTCTACACATATATATATTTTCTATTTTATATATATATATGTATATATATATATATATATATGTTTTCTGAGGTTTTCGCGGGTGTTTGTATGTAGGTCTTTGGTTGTTCGGGTTTTCTCCTGCGTAAAATTGGAAGTGTCTTGGCGACGTTTCGACGAAGTCCCATTCGTCATCTTCAGGCTGGTGTTTTCAGCTTCGTGCTTTACATTGCTGCTCGAAGCACGAAGCTGAAAACACCAGCCTGAAGATGACGAATGGGACTTCGTCGAAACGTCGCCAAGACACTTCCAATTTTACGCAGGAGAAAACCCGAACAACCAAAGACCATATATATATATATATATATATATATATATATATATATATATATATATATATATATATATTTTTTTTCTATAAATATAAATTTTTTTCAATTCTTTTTTAATTAAGCCTATATTCTACTCTGGGAAGCTCTGGGGGGGGGGAAGGGGGGGTTGGGTAGGGGTGGGGGGGGTTTTGTTGGTAATGTTTGTTTTTTACTTGTATATGTTGTTTTTTTGTTTTTGTATTGTCTTTTATTTTTTGTAAAATTTATAAAACTTTTTAATAAAAAAAAAAAGATTAAGCAAATGTAAAATGTCAGTGCTTTACTGCCATAGTTATGGAATATATTGTAAATCAGAGACGAGGGTAATCTTTATACAGGCATCAATGTGTAAAACTTGTTTTAGGTTTCCTTTTTCTCGTGGGAATATTATTTTCAGCAATATACCTGGGCCTTAGGTAGTCCTATGACATCTTCATTGGACTCTGGAAACAGGTATTGCATCTAGATATTAGAAGAAACAAAGAAAACAGAAGAAAACAGTCAATTTCTGTTTTCTTGCTTGATCAGTCATATTTGTCTTGCTAGATCAAAAGCAGACTTGTTGATATCATTTGCTTAGCATATTCTTGATGTATCTCCAGAGAAGTGTATAACATTATTGTAGGAAGGTCTAGCCTTCTTCCTCCAGTACTTGGGATTTGATAGCTAATTGTCCTTTGTTGTACAATATATGTAAGGGTTGTATCTTCAAAGCTACATTTTTCTATTTTTATGAAATATGCATACATTCAGACTTCGTTTGTAAATAATCCAAGCCATATATGCTTTAATTACAGTTTGCAGAATATCCCATAAATGACAGGGTTTGTGTTAATCCTAGACAAGTGACTTAGCATAATGCAGAAAATTCAGGCTTGATTATCACAGCCTGTCATGTCAATTTCATTAAACTAACAGGGCAGCATAGGAAAGCTAATTTTGATTTCAGTAAAAATAAGGACATCTACAATGACTGGTTTTCTGGGTGTGAAAGGTTTTGAATACCCAGGATGCAAGATTTAAACGTATAGTTTGTATAAGTTACCACATATGCAGTCTAGTAAATTTTCTGGGTATGCTTATTTAATTTGAAAGGGTGAATGCAGAGAGTGTTTCATATGCTTATATTCAATCGTACCTAAGTTCTTTAATTTCAGTGGACCTATCTTAGTTGTGTCTAACTTCTCATTGATTTCAGTAAGCCTGTTCTTGATAAGCACATAGATATCTTCTCCAATCAGGATGTTCTCCCTGAATTCCCTATGCAGTGTAGCTATTGATGAGAGCTCCAAAAAATTAAAGTTCTGGATCTGGGGTGCTCCCAGTTAAGAGAAGGATATTTCCATGAATCTTGGTTTGGGTACAAGTTTCTGTTCTCAGCTGACAATTTTGGCAAAGTGTGGGGCATTTGTGTTGGCACCATGTTGGGAAGGAAACTATTTCTTTCTCCCTCCCAAAAGCTTTCCGGGGTAAAGACAGTCTGCAAATATAAGTAACAGGCTTTATGTCATGCATACTTGATGTTTAGTAGTTTAGTAGTTGTTCACATTCGCCAAAGGAACTTGATTGAGAGGATAAGAATTGGAGACACTGTATGTTCCAACCACAAGCTTTGCTTTGGGACCCATTTCCGAATTTTGTTCATGTGACCATGGGGATGCTGTAATGGTCTAAGTGTGAAAAATGGTCATAAGTCACTTTTTTCAGTGCTGTTGCAAGTTTGAATAGTCACTGAATGAAGTGCTATAAGTCAAAGGCTTACTTGTATTTGAAACTACAATTTTCAAATCAGCCTCTGGCAACTTCATGGATGTATCTGTGTATTCCAGTGATGGCGAACCTTTTAGAGACCGAGTGCCCAAACTGCAACCCAAAACCCACTTATGTATTGTCGGGTGCCGGGTGGGCATGGCCCATTGGGTGGGCGTGGCCCATTGGGTGAGCGTGGCTGCAGTGGTAATGACAAACTGGGTGGGGCTAAAAAGTTCAATCAATTCCAACTTTGCAAGATCTTTTTTTTTCCTGCGAGAAGTTGAAATTGATTGATTGATTGACTGAACCTTTTTTTTTTTTTTGCACACGGCGGAGGCCTAAAGCAAAAAGGTTTTATAAAACTCAGCTGAAGGCCTGGGACTGGGGCAATGGCATGCATGCCCATAGAGAGGGCTCTGAGTGCCGCCTTTGGCACACGTGCCATAGGTTCACCACCACTGGTGTATTCTTTTGACAACAGTGTGGAAGTGTTTTGTTACTGTCTTCTTTCTAGATGTACTTTTGATTTCAATATAGTCTACAACTCTGTGGTTGTCTGCAAGATGCATCCAGTCCTGCATAGTTTCCAGTTCTACACAAGATCATCAACCAGGTGTAGCCATCTGATCAGATCCAGTGACCTTATAGTTAGGGGCAATCAATGTGAAAGCTTAAATCTTGCAATGATTTGTTGTAGCTCTTAGGGATGAATGAACCAGTGCATTGCATCAGTAGTTTTCAATGCCTTTTCTAGTTTGTTTGCATTTATAAGAGGCAGATGATTGCTTTAATGTACTGCAGTCAGTAAGCCTTTGACAAGCGTCTTTTAGCCCAAGAAAGACAATCTCAGGAAGATAGTGGAAAGGAAGATAGGTTCCGATGGTTGAAAACCATTTTCCTGTAAACAGATAAACTTTACTTACCTCCCACTGGATATACATTTTTAGTTTGGTGAAGCAAAACTCAACTTGCAATCCTTTTCAAAATGCCTCTGTTGAAATGTCAAAAATTTTAAAGCTAAAGTTTTGACCCATAATCCACTGGGTCAGAAATTTCAGAGAGAAAGCTGTAAGCTCAGAAAATCAGACTGGCATTGAATTTTCATCCTCCTGTTGAACAAGCTGTCCCTTGAGCAGAAAGATGAGATTGATTGTTTTATTTCATTCATGAATGTCTAAATAATAGATTGACATGTGACATATTGTTAGAGGAGGTACTGTATCCAGAATTTCTCCTGCCTTCCACTATGTTCTTAACTGAGAAAAAAGGTAAGATAATTAAATCTAACATTTTACTTGCAAGAAGAAGAAACAAATGTTGTTTCTTAATTTTTGCCCCACAATCTGCTTTAATTATCAAACTTATACAGGTAGTCCTCGACTTATGACCACAATTGAGCCCAGAATTTATGTTGCTAAGTGAGAAATTTGTTAATTGAGTTTTGTCCCATTTTACGACTTTCCTTGACACATTTGTTAATCACTGCAGTTGTTAAATTAGTAACACGGTTGTTAAGTGAATCTGGCTTCCCCCATTGACTCTGCTTGTTAGAAGGTTGCAAAAAGGCATCACATGACCCCCCTGGGACACTGCAACTGTCATAAATATGAACCAGTTGTTAAGCATCCAAATGTAAATCACATGACCACGGGGATGCTGTAAAGGTCACGTGTGAAAAATGGTCATAAGTCACTTTTTAAGTACCGTTGTAACTTTGAACGGTCACTAAATGAAGTGTTGTAAGTCGAGGACTCCCTGTATAGCCTCCCATCTCACAAACATGACTCTGCTAGCATATAGTGAAACAGTAAAAAAAGTCTAAAGCATCCATTAAAAACAACAGCATAAATACCAAGAAGAACCAAATCCTACATATAATACAGGTAGTCCTCGAGTTACAGCCATTCATTGTTAAAGTTACAAAGGCACCGAAAGAAATGACTTATGATTGGTCCTCACACTTAGAATTATTGCAGCCTCCCTATGGTCATGTGATCAGAGTTCAGGAGATTGGCAACCAGCATGTATTTAGGATGGCTGCAACATCCTGGGGTTATGTGATCACCATTTGCAATCTTTCCGACTGGCTTCTGACCAGCAAAGTCAGCGGGAGATGCTGACTTTTTAATGGCCAGGTGATTCACTTAACAACTATAGTGATTTGCTTTTGCATGGCAAAAAGGTGCATACAACTGGATGTGATTCACTTAGTAGCAATCGCCTTGCTTAGCAGTGGACTTTCTGGTTTCAATTGCAGTCATATATAACAATCCTTCAGGCTCCCTATTTCCATGGAATCCCTAAGCCTACTAGAAAAATCTTGTTTAAAGAGATTTCCAGAAAGCCAGTAGATTTGGGACTAGCCTCATTTCAGGGAATGAGGTTCCATGGCAGAAAAGGCTTGTCTCCTGTTCCTGGATCCCCTCGGATGGAACTCTTCAGCAGACACGATCTATAATCTGCCTCTCTTGCCAGACCTATTGCTGTGATAAAGTTGTTTATGTCCTGATGTCTGGATTGCTTTGCTTGTATATTAAATGAATATCCTTCAGCACTTCTAATACGTGAGATTAGTTGACATGTCAGCCTACTTTAATTCTGGCTCATTGTTAGGAATTCGAATGAGTTTGCAGTGGAAAGCTATTTAAAATTAGTGCATGCATATCTTATCCCCAGAATCTTTTACAAGCAATTTGTCTTTTTGTTATTAAGCAAAACCTCAAACAAATTGAGAGTGGCACTACTATTCTTGTGTGCAAATACAGTATTTCCTTATTTTTAATTTTGTTTTTGCTGTTTTTGAAATTCACAAATGCGTTTCAGGCGTGTTGCAATATTACCATGGAAATTATACATCAAATGCAAAATCGAGTAATAAGCAATGCAGGTTTGTTGACATTTGTGTTACCAAAAGATGAACAAATATTTGAGAGATGGAGCTAGACCAAGTAGGCCATGTGTTACCTAGAAAACTAAGGGATGAGTTTGTGGTTTACCTGTTCAGAAAACAATTCAGACTGTGGCCGTGAGGATTATGTTAAAATGCTTTCTAAAATCTTTGTAAAAGAGCAATATTCTTTCCCGACTTAGTGCTTTCCAGGAGTATTATGCCTTATCATTATCAAAGCCTAAAAATTGTAATCCAACACTTTTGTAAGGTATTCAGTGTGGGCAGCCTGGTAAATAATAGTTTGTGTATGTGACATAACTATTTGATGGCTGCAAAGATTTACTTTGTTGATGGATTCAAAAAATCAACTTATGGGACTCTTTAGTATATTAGGAAATAGAACTCAGGGTGTGATACATAAATGAAAAGGCAAAATTGGGCTGATTCATTGTACCAATAAAGGAGAATATTTGTAAGTCAGGGTTGAAAGGAGGGGTCCTTGGTGCTCTCTGAGCTTGGTTGATTTCTTGTAGATGTTTCATCACCCAAACTAGGTAGCATCATTAGTGCCAAGGACCCCTGATTCATTGAACTTCACTTACTTTATATCCCTGCTGAAAAGTGCCTGGACAGCTTTTCATCTAGATGGGACAGATTCAAAATAGCTTCAGCTTTGTCACAGGTTACTTACCTTTATTGAACAGAGACCTCATGAGAAGTACAATAAACCTTTGGCTTTCAACAATCTTGAAAATGCATAAATCAACTTCTTCCTTCCCTCTCTACATGCAGTTTAATGTGAAAGCACTCATTTCACTGATTTTTATTTTAAGTAAGTCATAACACAGGAGCCATTGTATTCTCACCTATGGTTGCTCTATGTAAAGTATAACTTCTTCAAGTAAAGCTAGTTCTTCATCATGATTGCTTGTACCCAATTGCTAACTTCTTGTAAAAATATATATAGGGAGACCATAAAGTTGCCTTTCATCAAAACAAACAATATTTCTTAACTAATAGTAGTTTCCAAAGTATTGGGTTTTCTCTTATCCTGCAACTCTTTTTAAGTCGACATTTTGTAGATTAATTTACCCACACGTTGCATGTAGCTAGTGCTTAATGATATTATTGTCCGAGTGCTATACAAGCCATGTCAAATGTAAATGCAAGTTTTTAAAGCCAAGGACAACTTACTGACCATTTTTTGACTGAAATATGGAATGAGTTTAATCAACTATTACATAATCTTGCAAGCAAATTTGCTTAGCTTCTGATGACATTCACCATCCATACCATAATCAAAACGCACCCCAATAGGAAATATATTTGTTATATAAAATATATTCACAGTAACAATTAATAATGGGGTATTGCAAATCCATAATATTTTATTAAAATCTTTCAAAATTGGTTTAAACTGATTAAATTTGTTAAAAAACCTGTGCCACTTCTTGAATATGATATGGTAATATTTTCTGCTTTTTTGCCTCAGCTTTTATTAAAGAGTTAAATGGAAGCTAATGATGAAGGCTAAAAATTAAGATCTGTATAAAATGAAAAGAAATGTATCAGTAAACACCCATCTAAAAGAAGGAATACTTTATGCATAAACTGGAAGTGTTTATAAACTGCTCATAAGCAATATAGAGCTGAACTTACTGTAATAAAATAAAATAATATTATATTGTGACTTTTCCTGCCCTCTATCATCTGAAAATAATGTTCTTGCTTAGCTTCATTGTATGGAAACTTAAAGAATCAATAAAATAGGTGGCTTGTTTGTCTCTTTAGCTGCCACTGCAGAAATCTGTATCAAAGATGTATTAGGAGAAACAGTTCTCCTGGTAGCCCATCTGTGCCCTGTTTGATGCTACTGGAGATGCTAATAAATCACTATTAGTGCTGAATCACTTAGCTTCCTACTTATTTTATTGATTTCTATATCAGAGAGAATCTTAAATAGTCTATTCATGTTATTTGCTGACAGTTCCTTTCTTTCATACCACTTAAAAATCCCCTCTCTTGTTTAACTTCAGGAAACATTATAGCAAACGAGAAAGACTTCAGTGGTATTGAAAGTAAATTTTCTTTAAGAATACCTGAAAAGCCTGATGAAGACATTTGTCACCTAGTTCCTGGACAGGAAACAAGTGTAACAGATTGCAACTTCAATCATACCAGTAAAACTTTTGTGGTTATACATGGATGGACGGTAAGAGGAGTAAAACATTTGCATAGCTATTCACTAAAGCAGGGGTCTTCAAACTTGGCCCTTTTTTGACTTGTGGACTTCCCCTCCCAGAATTCCTCAGCCAGGCACATTGTCTGAGGAATTCTGGGAGTTGAAGTCCACAAGTCATAAAAGGGCCAAGTTTGAAGACTCCTGCACTAAAGGTTCTTAGTTAGCCTGATGTGAACAGAGACCAAATAGTGATTTTTAAAAAAACCCAACAAATTAATTGCCATACATTTTTACTTATAGTCATCTCATTTCTGGAATGGATAAGCTCTATAAGTAATTCTCAACTAATGACTGTAATTGAACCCACTATTTTGGTCATAAGTCATAATGGTCATAAAGTGGCTTATCACATGACCAGATCCAATTTTACAACTTTTTTGTAGCAGTCATTAAGCAATCCCTGTGACCCATAGTTCACTATGGGAAATTTTTCCAGAAATGGAAAGTAAGTGCCTTTTCCAACAGAAAATACTGTGGTCACATGACCACAAGCTACAAATAGCTGTAAATTAGGTTTGTTGCTAAGCACCCAAAATCTTTTACATGACTGAGGGGCCCCAGACACCAGAGATTTGAATCCTTGTTATAAGTCCCATTTTTTTGGGGGGGAGGGGTGTCCATCATAATTCTGGTCACTAAGGAATTGGCCATAAATTAAGGACCACCTGTATTGTCTTCTGGATCATGTTTGGAAATTATAATATGTGTTTTTTTAAAGCAACTCCAACCTTAGTTTAAACATCCCAATTTGATGATAACTCTTACAAAAAAACAACTGTTTTGCTGCATCAGGCCATCTGTCTTAGTATTCTTTTTTCAAATAGTGCTGAAATCTGATAAGCTGTCTCGCTAAGTGGGACGTAGCTGTAAAGGTGATCCAGGCAATTCTATTCATGACAAGAACTAGAAGCCATATTGCTTGGGGAGCAATGAAAAACATTGGCGTTGGGAAGACCTTGTTGCTTAAGCAAGACATGAATCCTTAATAGTGAAGTCTTCGTAGCATTTCCTATCTGGGAAGAACTAAACAACCAGGGCCACCTAGAGTTTGCCCTAAGTTCCAAAGGGCAGACTTGACATAGGGAAATGTAAGCTGGATCTTTTCTAGGCTTACCTGGAAAACCAGGATTGTCTTCTTGAAAAGCAAAAAAATTGCTATTGCACTACAGCCATTCCCTGAACATTTTCTTGAGGCTAGCATTAATATTAGGAAGTCTTGCAGTAAGAATGGTAAAGAAGCTTGGAGCTCATTTGACATCCATGTTGTTCGTTAATCCTTTTTTTTTTTTTTACCTGCTAACATAACCCACACACATTTGCATTTCTTAAACTTTATGTTCTCCAAAGTTTAGGTCCAAGTGACCTGAGCATTATCCCAGCAGAGTTCTTTGTTATAGTAATTATGGTTTGTTATGGGAGAAATAGGAGACAGGGGTATTAGCTATGTTTATCGTTTTTGAATTATATATTTAAAAGGTGGGATAAAAATCTAATAATTGCAATTATTATTATTAAATAAGTGTCAGGTGCAAGAAATCGGGAACCAAGATTGTTCAAATGAGTACAGTTTTAATCCATTCAGGTTCAATCCAAGAATCTGAACTACTAACAGTCAAGGCAGATTGTCAGTAGATAAGAGTCCATGTAATTCAAGAAAGGATGGATTTGAATCTCTTGTGGGCGTGAAGGGACCCCTCACTAGGGCTCAGCCTGGTCATCTCCTACAATCAGCAGCCACGTAATTTACTTCTTCACACCAAGGTCTGCACAAGTTAAAAGAAAACTAATACTTGTGCTTTGCTCAACTTACATACATTCACTGCAGATCCTCTCAGTGCTTTCTAAAGTCTTCTTCATTTTCCTCTCCCCTATATTTCCTTAAAACTGCTAGAACTCCTCAGCAAAAAAAAAAAAAAAAAAAAACACAATATTTTGCTTTTTGTCACACAGTTGATTTTCTACTGCCCTTCAAATAGCCACAACAGCACCCCAGGGTTACTTGGAAAAGCTGGCATAATTCACTAATTCTCCATTTTGCAATAAATATATAAAGATACTGGCCTTTGTAGAAGTTGTGGCAGTGAATTTCCTATCTATTAAAGGATTAATCTTTTATGGATTAAAATACTGTATAATACACCCAGGCAGCTGGATATTTTCCATATGTTTTGAACAATTCCCGTAAACTCTTAACATGGAAATGTATGGAAGCTTTAGTCTGCTACATTTGTAGAGCACCAGATTAGACAAGGTTACTATCAATGCACTCCTAAGCTTGTTTATGGTTACTTATGGTTACTTACTTTGAAACTATTTGATGATTATATTTCTTATCTCTGTAAGTGTACTTAATACCTATCCTTTGAGGTTTATATTATAGATTGACATAGAGTATCGTATTCTAGGTGACTGGCATGTATGAGAGCTGGGTTCCTAAGCTGGTGAAGGCACTGTACAACAGGGAACCTGATTCTAATGTCATTGTGCTTAACTGGTTAGCTCGAGCCAGTTTGCATTATACAACGTCTGCATACTTTACAAAGGAGGTGGGAGAAGATCTTGCTGCATTCGTTGATTGGATGGAGGTAAGCATCTGTTTGCAAGTTCTGTACAGCACAATATCTCAAAAGTGTTGAATACCTAGAATCCAAGATAAGGGCATTTCAAAATGAGAAACTTAGGCCTGCTAAAAAAACAGCCCTTGGGATTTTGATTCCACAATGTTAGCTATATTTATTTCTGGCTGAACTGTATTTGAAACTGTACTTAACCATTTTTTTTAAAAAAAATAAAGTTAAATGGACCTTATAGGTCAGTGATTCTCAACCTTTTTAATGCCGCGATCCCCAACCGGTCGTAAGTTGAGGACTACTCAACTGGTCGTAAGTCGAGGACTACTCAACTGGTGCAGCACTGTTTGCACAATGGGACTTTTGGCGGGCTCAGCAGGGCAGAGACAGCCTGGACAATTCCTATTGGCGTTTGAAAGCCAATAGAATTAGACTCTATTCAAGAGAGTCTATTCTATTGGCTTTCAAAAGCCAATAGAATAAAAGGGAGTAGCACAGCTAAGGAAAAGGGGGGGAAAATGGTGGACTGCGTTATTTGGCGACCCCCATGAAATGGTCGTTCGACCCCAAATGGGGTCCCGACCCACAGGTTGAGAACCACTGTTATAGGTGGTTCATTTTCTGCTTCATCACCCTTCTTGCTCTTGCACTTTTAAGGGGAAAAGTGGCTTGATGCCTTTTCGGCACTTCCATTATGTGGCCAGCATATGCATACTGCATGCAATAAGGCCTTGGAGTGAAAAGCAATTTATTTTGTTCCTCATTTCTGTGGAGTGGTAAAGAAAAGGGATTTATGGCAGGATCTGCCATAACTCAGGATGGAGCAGTTATTTTTTACTGTCAGTATATCTCCAATTTGTTTGTGAAGGTTTCCAAAGTAGAATAGGTGGATTCTCATGATGGATCTATTGCTGTGCTGTACCCGCTAGTGAGAATGACATGATGGAATGCTTTCTCATTGGGAAAAACATGTCTGCTGGGTATCTGGCATATGAAATCTATGCTAACATATGTAGCATAGATAGTTCCATAATATTGCTATTCTCTGTTAATTCTTATTTTTAATATGTGGAAACATCCAAACATTCATATTCCAGCTCTTGCCTGAAAAGTGTTGTTAGCAATATTTGCACTGACACTACTATTTTTTATGAGAAACAGTGTCCATAATGATGGCTGGAAAATTGATGTAGTCCTTGACTACACCACCATTGACTACACCACCATTGAGCCCAAAATTTATGTTGCTAAGTGAGACATTTGTTAAGTGAGTTTTGCCCCATTTTACCTCCTTGCTACCATTGTTAAGTGAATCACTGCAGCGGTTAAGTTAGTAACACGGTTGTTAAGTGAATCTGTCTTCCTCATTGGCTCTGCTTGTCAGAAAGTCACAAAAGGTGATCACGTGACCCCATGACCTTGCAACCGTCACAAATATGAACCAGTTGCTAAGCCGCTGAATTTTGATCACGTGACCATGGGGATGGCTGCAGTGGTTGTAAGTATGAAAAATGGTCACGAGTCTTTTTTTCAGTGCCATTGTAACTTTGAACAGTCACTAAACGAATTGTTATAAGTTGAGGACTACCTGTATTAAATGCAAGCGATGTCAAGTCTTTTTAAGTATCAGATTTGTAATTAAGGAATGAAGATATCTGAATGTTCACTTATATACTCAGGACATCTTTGACGTAGAGTGTTTTTTTCATTCCTGATGTGCCAAATGTGCCCTCTGCTGGGTAGTGATGAATATATTGCTGTTCTTCACATTCTTACATTAGGGCTGTTCAAAGCCTCTAAAAGAGGGCCTTGAAACACACAGGAATATATGGAACAGCTTGCTGTGGATTGTTAAAGCTGCTGTGTCTTTTTTCAAGCTATGTATGGCTATGTTGGAAACTATCCCAGCTATCTGTGCAAGTATTCTTAATACACTGCTGCTTAACTCCGTGCATTCCTTTGCAGTCTCCTTACTTCCATCACGATAATATATAGTCCCTTCAAATTGCTTTCTGAATACATGAGGCTGTTCTCAAGTAAATTTTGGATGCAACAAGCTACGCCCAGAGTCATTTCTTGTGAACGGGCAGCCATATAAATTTGATCAACTAATACCTTCAAATGACATGGAGTGGAGACCTATCTCTCTGTTTAGATCTTCATCTGAAATTCAGTTCTTAGGAGCAATGAAGCGGTGCTGATTCCTGGAAAGGAGACAGTGATTTTTTTTTTTAGTGGCTGTTGAGAGTACGCACAAAAGATTGAAGGCCTCATGAAGTTTACTTAAAATGTTACTAGGTGGCCTTCTTTCCCCATTTCCTCATCTGGGCAGGTGGGACAGAGCCACAAATTGAGTACCTCTTTCAATGGAGAGTAAACCTGAGGCTAGGCTAGTTCCCATACTTTACATTTTGCAGAAAAACAGGCTGTAAATGGAGCTCGGTTCCCCTTGCGCCACATCCCACATGAGGATAAATGTACATATTTGCTAACATTATCTGTTATGCAGTATCTCTAGGAAAAATTTTCTCTCTGTATCTGCATCACCAAATCCATCCATCTTTCTTTTTAAAACATAAATTATTACTTTTTCACCAGAAATGCCTATCTTCCTTTAGTTGTTGTTGTGGTTAATTGCGAAGTCGTGTCCGACCCATTGCGACCCCATGGACAACGTTCCTCCAGGTTTTCCTGTCCTCTACCATCTTCTGGAGTCCATTTAAGTTCACACCTACTGCTTCAGTGATTCCATCCAGCCACCTCATTCTCTGTCGTCCCCTTCTTCTATTGCCCTCAATCTTTCCCAGCATTAGGCCCTTCTCCAGTGAGTCCTTTCTTCTCATTAAGTGGCCAAAGTATTTGAGTTTCATCTTCAGGATCTGGCCTTCTAAAGAGCAGTTGGGGTTGATCTCTTCTAGGACTGACCAGTTTGATCACCTTGCAGTTCAGGTGACTCAGGAGTCTTCTCCAGCACCATAGTTCAAAGGCCTCAATTCTTTTGCGCTCAGCCTTTCTTATGGTCCAACTTTCACAGCCATACATTGCAACTGGGAAAACCATGGCCTGGACTATACTTCCTTTAGTATCTTTGCCAATAAATGCTCTTCTAACAAATAAAGCTTTTGGGCAGGATGTTGAACACTGCTGGATTATATTTTCTTTTTTGGCTGCTGTTCTATTTATTTTTTGTTACGATACTGTTTTTAAATGTTATATTTATACTTAAACTTTTTTTTTTAAAAAAAATAAAATGTGTTCCATCTTGTTGATGGAGAAGGCTGAGTAATCAATAATTTAGAAAAATGTATCTCTGGCTTTAGAAGTCTTTCTGAATGTTTTAAGCATAACATCCTTTTTTCTTTTTTTCTTTTTTTTTAAATCAATTTTTCTTTTGCCGCTCTCAAGTTTTGTCCCTTAGCTGTCTTACATAGATTTTTACGTATTTGCGTTTTATATAAAAGTGTGCAAATTTCCTGCTGCTACTATAATATTTTTGTTCTTGAAGTGAAACTGATCATTTGTTTTTTAAATAATAAGCAAGTTAAAATTTGCACTTAATATTTTAAAAACGATTGTTCTCAGGAGCAGTTCAGTTATTCTCTCGACAATGTCCATTTGCTGGGATACAGCCTCGGTGCTCATGTTGCTGGCATTGCTGGAAGCCTGACCAGTAGAAAGATTAATAGAATTACAGGTAAGCAAATCATTATTGCTATTAGAATAATAATTAGAAGGAGATACAGTGGATCATTCAAAGCACTAAATATTTTAGAATCCTGGCATATGTCGATAGCAGCTATTATAAAATGAGGAGCTAATGAAAACTGCTTTTTCCAGCATACATACCATTGCTTTTCCTTCGAGATTCTAAAGAGCCATTGTATGTTACAAATCCTCCTCCTCCTCAAAATTAAAAAACAAAAATAAAAAAAGTAAGTGCCTTAATGGCAGTCTTTGCCCTGGGAAGTCATTGGCTTCAGTGGGATTTATGAACTGAGGATTTCTGCCTTTATGAAAGCAACACATGACCTGCAAAATAAGCTATTTGGATGGCAATCTTAAGCTTTTTGTTTAAGTGAATACTTATTTGAGACCTTAATTATAACTTTGGAATTAACTGCTTTTGCAGACAATCGTTCAATTCATTTATAAATGCTGGAAATTGATTTTTTTTAGAAAAGGTACTTGACATTTAAGAAATATTTAAGGCATTTATGTAACATTTGCATGATCCTTTCATGGCTTTGTTCTATATCGGTGAAACGTTTCATATTTTTTTTTCTTTTAACTTCTTTATATTTGAATTTTTTGAAACGACACTAAACTGTTAAAGTGTTTATCTTGCTTTGCATATAATACAGCAAAAGATCAATAAACAAATCACTACAGCTGGTCATTGACTTATGACCACAATTGAGCCTAAAGTTTCCATTGCTGAGCAAGACCGTTGTTAAGTGAATTTTGTCCCGTTTTACAACTTTCTTGCCCCAGTTCTTAAGTGAATCACTGCATTGGTTCAATTAGTAAACCGGTTGTTAAGTGAATCTTGTTTCCCCATTGGCTTTGCTTGTCAGCATGTCACAAAAGGTGATTGTGTGACCCCAGGACACCACAACCACTATAAATGCCTGCCAGTTGCCAAAAGTCTGAATTTTGATCACATGACCCACGGGGATGCTGCAACAGTTACAAGCGTGAAAAATGGTCATAGGTCCCTTTTCTCAGTGCTGTTGTAATTTTGGTCACTAAATGGTTGTAAGTCAAGGATTACCTATATTTTTATGAAAGATTTTTTTTTTCGGACATAATATCTTAGGCTTCACATTGACTGATTATTCTAGTGTTGCCTGCTATTTTGGGCACAGCCTAATTACAGCTGAGTTCTTGTTTATTTTAAAACTACAGCCTGCCTCCTTCCTTCCTTGTTTTTTCAGGACAACAGTTTGGTGTAGTGGTTAAAGCACCAGAGTAGAAACTAGGTTAGGGTAGGCAACCTTGGCTCTTTTATGACTCGTGGACTTCAACTCCCAGAATTCCTGAGCTTCAGGAATTCTGGGAGTTGAAGTCCACGAGTCATAAAAGAGCCAAGGTTGCCTACCCCTGAACTAGGTGATCGGGAGTTCTAATCCCACCTTAAACATGAAAGCCAGCTGGATGACTTTAGACCAGACACACATTCTCAGCCCAACTTACCTCTCATAGTGGTTGTAGGGAAAACAGGAGGAGGGAGGAACATTAGGCACGTTGATCGACTCAAGTTATTCACCAAAGAAAGGATAAAGGAAAAACATAAATAAATTTCTCATTTACCAGAGAGCACTGTAAAACCCAATAATATTGACAGGAATTTTGGCACCGATAGTGAATAAAAATATGGACCATATCTGCAATTTTTCATCACGACGCTGCCCAGGGCATCCAAATAACGGGTCTCTTTCTTTTACGCTTGTCTTCGCATTTAGGGTTAGATCCTGCTGGGCCCCTCTTTGAATATGCTGAGGCGTCTAGGCGCCTTTCTCCAGACGATGCCGTCTTTGTAGACGTCTTGCATACTTTCATCAGAGGCTCCCCAGATCGCAGCATTGGCATTCAGCAGCCGGTGGGCCACATTGATATCTATCCCAATGGAGGTGGCTTCCAGCCAGGTTGCAATTTAGCTGAAGCCCTGCGCCTGATTGCCCAGAAAGGCTTCCAAGGTAAGTTTTCAAATCTGAATGCCCCCCTCCCCCACCCCCAGTACAAGGACAACGGTATCAGGAAGATTCTGTGGCCACCGCTATTCATGACTTATGTTAGTTCTGTTCAGAATTGTTTCCCTTTCTTAGATTCATTATAGAAACATCTAGTAATGAAGGAGTTTGCCTTTATTTTTGTTCCTCAGGTGTCTCAGAGTTTTGCTCATACTGGGTCCAAATTAAGCAGGGCTTCCCCTTCCCTCCATTAAACTATCTGTTTACTTCAGGGATTAGAGGTAGTCCTTGACCTATGGTTCACGTATGCTAGGTATGAGCTTGGAATTACAGTCATTAATCCTGCTGATTATTAGTGGGTCATCATGTGACCAACCCAATTTCATGACATTTTTTGCAGTGGTTGTTAAGGGACTCCACCATTAAGTAACCTCTTGTCCGCAATGGGTGATTGGGCGGGGCACAAATAGTAATTAAATACCAGTTTCCAGCAAAAAAAATGTCATAAATCACATTCATGTGACTATGAGATTCTGCAAACAACCATAAATGTGGGGCGGTTGCTGAGCGCTCAAAATGTGATCATGTGACTATGGGGGGCATGTTGAAAGGACATTTGGGGGGGCTGTTATAACTTTGAATGGTCGTTAAGTGACTGGTCATAAGTTGAGGACTACCTGTATTGATCTATGACTAACATCCCTTGTCAAGTTACAGAAGATTAAAAGTAAGGGAGTACTGCAGAGATACAAAAGAGGTGCCATGTGCTAGTGCTGTGCTCACTTTTCATTGCATGCATATGATAACTTCAGCTGTAGTGATAGCTGGTCTACTATGTGTAGCATGTAAACTGTATTATAGGTTGTGCTTATCTATGTGTAGTCAGTTATACATACCCACTATTATGCTCAAATATTCAGTCTAGACCAGGGTTGGGGAACAGTGGCCCTTTTACAATATGTGAACTTCCAGAATGGCTGAAGTTCACATAAAAAAGCCCATCGTTCTCCATGCCTAATCTAGACTCTCCTTAATTTCTTCCTTATCTAGAAAATACAATGAGCTATAGATCATTGTGGTTATGATCAGCAGTATTGTATAATTCCTAATTGGAAGACACTGTTGATGAGGTTTAATGCAGGACAGGAGAAATAGCAGCCAGGTAGGGTGAAATAGTACTGAAGAAGAAGCAATGAAGAAAAACAATGGCATTCAGTGTGACTAAAAATGAACACTAGCTTCACAACTGAAGTATTTTTCAGAGGGTGAGAGAATTCTCACCAAATTTGTTATACTAGAAAACATCTGATGCAGACTTGCTTATCGTAATTGCTGAACCATAGAAATACATCTCTGTACAGTGCGGCTTATGTTGTTTTTCTTCCCTAAGAATCTGATCAGCTGATAAAATGCTCTCATGAACGCTCCATCCACCTCTTCATTGATTCCCTCTTGTATGAAGAAAAGCCAATCATGGCGTATCGATGCAATTCAAAAGAAACATTTGAAAGAGGGCTTTGCTTGAGCTGCCGAAAGAATCGTTGCAACAATTTAGGGTATGAAGTCAAAAGAGTGGGAAACAAGAGGATCAGCAAAATGTATCTAAAGACCCGTGCATATGCGCCTTATAAAGGTATTGGTGATCTGCAGCAAAACTTTTATTTTTAGGTCACTGCCGTAATACAACATGTGAAAACAAACTAATTTCAGAACAAATTGAACCAGAAAGGACTCTTGCACAGACCTCATTGAAATAATAACATTTTGCTTGATTAAAGTCTGAGTTCATTATAAATTTAAGAACGATAGACTTATTAGATTCAAATTATGCACTTGTTTTAATTAATCCTACTATTGAAATTGAAAATTTCAATTAAAATTAGCAAATGTGATACATTTGTATTTTTCAGGTGCATAATACGTTCTAATATCAATCCCATGATCTGATTTTTTTTTTGTAAACGAATACAGATTTTCTGAGACATGATTCCCCCAGAATAGTCAGTATCAATTCCTAAGGCTTGATGAGACTATCCATTGTTGATATTAGGTTGTTATGTGAGAGTAATCTACAGTTAGATTCACAATCTAAGACTGGTAGAAACTTAACTGAAGTCCCAACTAATAATTGTTAGGGTAGAATCTATGAATAAATATATTCATATGTATTATTATGGTTGTTGCGCAACCAGCTGTTTCGACTGGATTTGGCATTTTTATCTACCTGAGTCCTTCCCAAGGACCTGCGATAGGCAGATGTTATTTGATGCTGTTGTTATTTGCCGTGCTATTAATTAAATTAGCAATGTTATTTTCATATAATAAAAATTTGGGGGGAGCAAAGACATACTTCAAAATCTCATAATAAGAGACAATTCGGATTTATAACTGAATCCTTTTTACATTACTGCAGAATTAGATAATTTATATTTAGAATTAATCAGTTGTAATAGGAAGAAATTCCTTTATCTCATACAATCATACTTAGTATTGCAGTACAGAATTCCCAAATAATATTTGATCTGATCTTCAAACGTTGCGGGAAATTAGTTGGGAGACTATCAGCACTTTATACCACCCCCTTCTGTTTGCAGATTATCTGAAATTATTTTGGGGTTAGGGTTAGGGTTTTTTAAACTTATGAAATGTTGTCTATAAAATTACTTTTCATGCTTAAGCATAAAAGTACTATCTTCCAAACCAAAACTGGCAGAATTTATTAATAATATTTTTCATCTTTTGCTCTCAGTCTTTCATTTCCAGGTCAAGGTACATTTTTTTGGAAAATTGAACATTACCAAGAGAAACGAGCCATTTCTTATTTCTTTTTATGGCACCAAGAAGGAAAGTGAGGAGATACCGTTTGTAATGTGAGTATCAGCTGAAACAGTTGCCTACACATTTATCAATATACTGTCGCATTATGTAGCAGCTAGACTTTTGTTTTTTTTAAAAAAACTCTTCCTATTGGCTGCAGAAATTGCTTGCAGAATCATTTGATAATGGTTCTTGCATGTGTGCAGATTGTGGATTTTCACTAAAGGATGTGGTACATTTTGTTCCATTTAATTGTTCTGAGTGTGTTTTAGAAGGAGTTCTCAGATAAATTTTTGCATATTATACAAAAATGCTGCATGAAACAAGTGAATGATCATCCCTTTTCTCCTACACTTCCTTTCAAGGAAGTGTAAAAAAGAGATAATATTTAGGCTTTTGATACGCCCTGTAAGCACAAAAAAAGGACAAGTTGATTGTATTCAGTTGCTCTGTTTGGGAAATGTACATTTGTATATAGAAAGTTGTACAAATGGTGACTTCCCATTATGCATTTCTGCTTGGGTGAAGCAAATAAAATGTACATCTCATGAACCTGAGATTAGACTTTTAGCATTACAAAGACAAGCAGCTAAGTGGCAATAATAGTAGTCCTTAAAAATATAAGTATGCAAGATTCGCTTAATGATTATGTGTTACAAACTACTGGTAATCATTTGCTAAAAGGCGATCTGATGAGATGTTCCCTCATTGAAAACCGGCTATTTCCTAAGAAAGCCTATTGGTACATTCTAGCCTCCCAAAATTTTTTTGAAATTAAAAGTATGTAAGGGATTGGTCTGTGAGCATACTGGCACTTACTATTCATGCTGGATATAGTATGGGATTTAGCAGGACTAATAAAGAATGGGATTACCAGTTGCATGTTTTAATCTGAATTGTCTCAATTTGCAGTCACCCATAGTTGTGCTGTCAGCTACTATATTGGGCATGTGCTTGTCTGAATGAAAGTGATCTGGAAAAAAGAGGGCTGGTACTGAGAAAAAAAATTGTTGTAAGCTGCCCAAAGTCACATGTTTGTGAAATGAGCAGCTATATGAATTGGACAAATAAGTAAAATTGATGCTCCTTAAGATATCTCTCTTTGATTTTATATGATTGCTACTGTGAAGATTGTACCAACTTCCCCAATCCAGTCCTCTCCAAATATATTGAGAGTTCACCTCTTCTATTTCCACCAATCTCTAGAGTTGGAGTGGTGTCATATCTGGAGAACACCAAGTTAGGAAAGGAAGATTTGTAATAGGAGGCCAACTTTGCTTGGGTCACGAGTTGCTTCAGCCTTTAACTGGCATGCCAAGGGCTATCACTCTGAAAAGGAGTGAGTCTACATCAAAAAGTCAGGTCAAAACAATATTTCAATTAATTAAGTAACTCATATCATTATGAACTTCTTGAGATGGAAGGAGAGCATTAACTGTTAAGGAAAAGAGAAGTCTTGGAGGGTTTTTCAGCTGATGGGGAAGAAAGTTGGAAGGATGTAGGGTTAAAGAAACCAGGAGAGACAATAGTGGTGGAATGGAGGACAATATGTGAAAGGCTGGGCTGATATATCTGAAATTTAGCAGGTAAGAATCAAGAGTTGGAGGATGTTGGAAATGGCATCTGGGTCTTTAACAGGCCATCAGGATTCTCTGGATTTACAAGGAGGGTATCATTTTTATGATAGCAATAGCACTTAGACTTACCGGTATATACCACTTCACAATGCTATACAGCCCTCTCTAAGCGGTTTTCAGAGTTAGCATATGGCCCCCAACAATCTGGGTCCTCATTTTACCGACCTCGGAAGGACGGAAGGCTGAGTCAACCTTGAGCCGGTGAGAATCGAACTGCTGGCAGCCGGCAGTTAGCAGAAGTAGCTTGCAGTACTGCATTCTAACCACTGTGTCACTGTGGTTCATTATAGGATTTTGCTGCTTCTGAATTAAAATTATCCTGTGAATGAAAACCATTTTTTATATTCTCTGATAAAGGAATAAGATTCTGAGGTGAGTTGAAGACCAGCACTGACTGAACTTGTATTTTTTATTTTTTTAAACAGGCCTGAGATCTCCACTAACAAAACAAGTTCCTTCCTGGTATGTACAGAAGTTGATATTGGAGAACTGCTTATAGTAAAACTTCAGTGGGAAAAAGAATCTTTTTTCAGTTTTAGATGGTGGGATACCCCTGAATTTAGCATACGAGTAGTCAGAATCAAAGCTGGAGAAACCCAGAAAAAGTAAGTTTACTTTTATTTATTTATTTTCTGCAGTCAATCGTTTTGTCACCATCCAAGATTACTGATTATCTGTTTGTTCTCTCTTGGGTTCATTTGTATGAAATGAGTTTTCTGAAAGATAATTAATGATTAAAAAACTTGGAGAATTACAGTGGGTGTTCTTCCTTAATCAAGGCACTTATTTCATGCAGGAGAATGTTTTCCATTGCCCCCTCTCTCCATTGACAGCTTGCTTATACTAATGGGAAAAGGTACAACAAAGAAGAGTACATGACTATTCCCTATTTCACAACCATAGTGCTCTAGTTTCAACTCACATAGTATCTTTGAATCACTATAAATAACACTGACCTTTAATTTATTACTGCTACTAATACTCTCCCTTTCAATACTATGACTCAATATGAGAATTTTTTAATCCTCACTCAGCTGTATCTTAGAAATAATGCTATGTTCTCTAGAGTACTAGGTGTATAGTAAACAAGTAACAAAAATGATGTTGGAAATAACTTTTACACAGGATACCCTTATTAATCCCATGGTACAGAGATATTATAGTAATACCAATATCCTTGTAATTGCCTTGGTCTACATGGAAAGATGAGATTTTCTTGAATAGTAAAATTGATCCAGAATTACAAAAACTGATGGAGAAGCTGTAGAATAAATGCCTTGAAATATGTCTAGTGGTTTTTTTTTTTCAGAAATGTGGTACATTATGCACTTTTTAGCATTTTCTGTTATTTAATATATGGAATTAGACTGAATTATTGATTCTGCATATATTTATAGATCTTATTTTGCTTGTAGGCTATGATTGATTTGATAGTAATGGTTTCCTATTTGTAATGGATCAACTTCACAGTTCAATTCTGATAGGCATATCTACTAAATACTCACCTGACTACAAATTAATATTATAAAGAAATAGTAGATATTGTTTTTTTTTTAATTTTTGGACTAACCAATCAGTTAATGCCTTGTCAGAAATTCTATTTTAGATACAGTTGAGATAATGAAATATGACTTTTTAGAAGATGAGTTTACAGCTACTTCAGCAGTTCTGTTTATTTATAGGTTGATGTTCTGCTCACAGAATGGATCTTCTTTCCTCCAAAAAGGGGGCGAAGCTGCAGAATTTCTGAGATGTAATAAGAAAAAACCTAATGACACAGATTCGTGGTAAGAATTCTTTCATTCGCTATGCAGTGCACCCCTGAAAATTCATTCCATCGTTGCAGTTGTCAAATAGTAAGAAGCAGGCTTTTTGGACAGAAAATTGTGTGACACACTTTCCGTTTCTGACGTCTTTCTGCTGCAGGTTGGGTTGGAGTGATAAAGGGAATTCTATATATAAACCATGTGAACATTAGAGAGTTATAGTGGAAATTAACAATTTCCTCTAACATGCTAGCTTTATGTGTTTAGGATATTCTCTCAACTTTATGGAGAGATCCTATTCAAACTACACTCTTCCACCTGCATTTGGGAAAGAAAAGCTGAGCTGAATGGTTCTGCTAGATCAGGGGTATCAAACTGCCGGTCCATGGGCCGGACGTGTCACGACGAAACCGTGCCCACCTGATGGCCGGCAATGGGGGAAAAGTTCCAATACATCACGTGACGTCGCGAGTTTGACATGTCTGTGCTAGATGTATAACTTAGTTCTAAAACTAGGTAATTAGAAGAAGAGAATCCATTGTCAATCATAAAATGCAGGTAGGGCAATATTGGAAGAAGGAATCTTTGCCTACTTTGCAAGAGTGGTTTTCTAAAGTATCCTATCTGGCGGAAATGGCAAAGATTTCAGCTTTTTTAAAGGATCAATCGCAAGAGAAGTTCTTTGTGGTATGGGAAAAATGGATAGATTTTATACAATATAAGTTGGATATAAAAATATTATTTAGTTTTTCAATAACTTATATATAAATTTTAATATTTTATAGACTATTTTTTCTTTTTTTATATATTTTTTTATTATTATTTTACTTTCTTATATTTCTTTTCTTCTTTCTTTTTATTTTTTTCTTTTTAAGTATTTTTTTTCTTTTCTTTAATATTTATGTTTTATATATATATATATATATATATTGTTAATCATTCTATTAGTTTAAGTAATGTATTTAGACTTATTTATGGTTTATACTTTTTTTTTAAGAATTCAAGAAACTTTAATTAAGCCTATATTCAGCTCTGGGAAGGCTGAGGGAGGGAATGGGAGGGCTGGGGTGGGGTGGGTTGGGGAGGGTTGTTTTTTTTTTCTTGTAAAAATTTTAAAAATTTTCAATAAAAAAAAATCATAAAATGCAGTAGATACAAGGCATCCCTGTCTCTCCCGCAGGCATTAATTTCACAGAATATATTGCTCTTAGCAAAGCCTGAATAATTTCTTAAGAAACAAAAGAGGCGGCTAAATAGGCACCTGAATCCATGATAGGAAATGTTGAAGCTAGATCGGAACGTCAGCAGAATGTCACTAAAGCTTCTCTCCTCAGGAATGTATTGCTTGTTCTAGAATCTAGATTTTAGGGAAGTAACAAAGGACTTGAATGTTTTCTGCAAATTCCAGAGAGATAGAAAATAGATGTCACTAGATCTCTGTGTCTCACATTTAGCCACTGTTCATGCCATAAAGAGTCTTTGTTTGAAGACTGATGTAGATGAAGCCCTTACACTCCTGAGAGCAGAATTCTGCACGTTGAGAGAACTAGCCAAAAGTTTTTTCTCTCATAATGTTAATACAGGGATGTGATCAATATATTTGTAGTAGAGAATGAATAGGAAGAATAGGGATTTAAGTATATTATTTTCCCTGTGATTTTTTAAAAATATATTCTGTGCTTTGCATCTCCACATTGTTCTGATTGCTTGGATCTTTGAAGGAATTTAGAGGAATTCAGATAGAATTTGTAATTTGTTATTAATCAATCACCTTATTAATATTTATCCTCACAAGTGCTTTATGTCTAAGAGTGACAAGTCTTTTGTTAGTATAGCTATCAAATTTGGGCAGCAAAAATCCAAAAGGCCTCTAGACCACAGCAAAGAGTTGGGAGTTTTCTGCATTGTTTTGCTGCCATCTAGTGGCTCAACTGGATATTTGCACCTCACGTCTAGTAACCATATTTATTTGAGAACGGATATTTAGGTGTATAAAGTTCTGTTTTGCTATCTACTTTTTTTGTATTGTGCCTATGTAGCCATTAGATTTGTAAAGCAGGGTTATAAAAACTTGGTAGAAAGGCTCTCTATATTAGTATTCATTACACTTCACATCTCAGAGCAGTTAATTGATTTCACTGTTCCTATATGCTTTGTTTTGATTTACTTGTTGAACTCCTGCAGGGTTTGCAAATGCAAAATGCATAGAAACCTTTAATCTTACATCTTGCTCAAGGAAAGGTGGCTTGTGTTCCTTGGAATGGAACATATGGATGACTCATTAAATTGCATCCTAAGCATTTCAGAAACAGTAGCCTAGAGTTTTTTCCCAGAAGAAAACTGAGTTTAGTAAGGAAGTTGAATACTGATAGAATGACACTTCCCAACATCTGGGCAAATAGCTTAAATTAAAGAAATTTACTGTTGCTACCCCATCAGATTATTAAACTAGATGTCTGAAGTCACCAATCCAGTTGATTTAGGAAGTAGTGTCAACTATTGAGATTTTTAAAATTATTTTTATTTTTAGAGACCAGGCCAGAATAATGAATGAGTGAAGACATTCTGTTTTGGAAAGGAAATTCTCCAGAGTGCTGACCAAACAGGAATGATTTACTGACATAATTATCTATCTTCTATAAAACTGTCAGCTGACACTGTCCTAGGAATTATTCACCCGGACTGAAATCTTGATTTGGTTTCGCCTGAATACGACTAGCAATATACATTCAAATTCACATCTGACTGAAAAAACGTGCAGATGGACATTATCTTCATCCAGATCAACATCTGAATGCACACTTGATTCCTGATTCAGTGAGCAGCATGTATGTAAAACCTACTTCTACAGATAGATCTCCTAATCTGGATCATCTCAGCATATACCAAAACCTACATAAACCAACTTTATTTTTATAATTAAGAAGAATTCTCTCACAGATGGTGATTTTTGTATTATTCGGAACAAACATCAATAATTCTTATACCAACTTTCTTGTTTTATAATGCACTTGTATAAAAAAACCCTATTTATTGAAGAATTGCTTATTTTTACATGCATTTGGTTTAAGGTTTTTGGTTTTGTTTTGTTTTTTAAGTTCTACAAGTGGATGTTTTGCTGTGCAACGTCCATTTAGCTGATATTTGCAGTTTTGGAGCTTTGGCTGGCTATAAATTACTTTTATAAGCAATTAAGAGCAATATTTAGACTTTTTATTCAATAAATGCTTACAAGCCACAATAGATATATATGAATAATGATGTTTTGTAGGTCTGAAAGATTCCAGAGTAAGCTGTTTCACAGTAGGTAAATAATTAAATTTAGGAAACACTTAGCAATCCATAATCTCTTTACATGACAATAAATTCATCACAGGGGAAAATACCTACATAGCGTCTCATGCTTTTCCTTTAAAAAGGAATCTAATGCATTTATATTAAACATATGCATCCTTATCAAATGACTATCCATAAAAAAGGCAGAGCAGTATCATAAAAATGGTAGGAATATTACTTATAACAATTTTTTTACACAAAATTACTGTATTGATTGTGGATAGGGATGACAATTAAACCTATAACTTTCACAAATCCATATCCCAAACAAATAATAATCCTCTTTTTTGACACTGTTGTTTCTAAGTTAGAAAATAATATATTTTTTTAAAGTAATGTAAGCGTATGAAAATGTAGTATTATAACTCTCACTTTTGGAGAATACACAAATAGTTTGTTGAATCAGGAAGTACACACAAAAAGGTATTTGATACAGATATTTATTGGCATGTTTAAAATAATTCATTTTAATATTTTAATCAAAATCTCAGACTTTCAAAGTTGCAGCCAATTATATCCACAGTGGTTTAGTAAGTTGTATCCTAAAAAAAAAAGATAATTTTTTACTTCTGTGAAGATACATAAAAACATAGATGTGCCTGAACTTAGATACTGCCATTTTAGCACCTGGTTATCAAATACATTATCTCTTACTACAGGAAAAAAAGTTATCAAATGTGTGGCAAAAATTACATGCAATACTTTTAAGTCTTCTTTATTGAGATGGTTTCCCTGCACATAGGTCTTTCATTTAGGCAAGAAAAACGAGTGAACACCAAAGGATATCTTTAAAGATGTACATCATTTCTTCTGGATGAAGCCAATTTCTCAGGAATGAGGTTTAAAAGACAATTTCTTAACAAGTTGAAGATTTTTAATGCAAAGTCAAATACAACGCCAACAGCAGCACTTGATCACCAAATGGAATTTTATATATGAGAAGATATATCTTGACTTTAATTGTTTCTATTTATTATTTGTAAAATATATTTGTGTATATATGTAAAAGTTAGTTTGTATATATTGCTGAAGTAAATAAAGCTATATTCATTTATAGACTCTGGTGACACAGGTTTCTCAACACAAATATGTTACATTCTGCAATGATCATTTGTTGTTTCAAGACATCTCTACTTTGTATATAAGTGACTTTCACAAGCATTCAAAGAAATCAGCCATTGTTAGTAAAATGGCTGGAATGATTTGCTATATTTGCAGAACCAGAAATCCCAACAGTGCAGACACATCAGGCCTTTATCTTTTTTTGGCATCTGACAATGCATTAAATGCAACAACTTTTTTTGGTCATGTTCCTTTTTATCTCATCCCAGCTCAAAAATGAGACAGATTTGAGTCATCCTTAGTTGTACTGGGTGTTAGAGAAAAGCTCCCCTGCTTAAAAGTGGCATCATCCAATTATAGCTGCAGGGTGTGTAGAATATATGCTAGTATTGCTATACACCCCTGTAGTGGCATGAATCTGAGGTGCATAATGGCCATTTCAGGCCCAGGTGGCCAGACACCTCTGGTCCCCAGTTAGCCTTGTTTGCTATTACATTGCTGACATCTTAAAGAGCTGATCTCAGCAGTGTTGTAATGATCCTTTGGATTTGCAGAAAAGCAATTCAGCAACCTTTAGAAGTATAAAGTACAACCTTTTTGTGTTCTCATTATTGTGCCTTAGCTGCATGTAAATTATTTCCTCCCCCCCCCAATATGCTCCTATAATATTTAGTACAGCATGATACTTGGGTGTTGCTCTTTTACATCCTCTATAGTAGTCATTCTCAACACGTAGGCCATGGACTGCTGGTGATCTGCAGAGATCTGTAGGACGTCTGCCATAGCCAGGGGCCAGAGCACATTATTTGTCTCACCCCTGCATCCCCCTGGTGGCCAAGACATGGTGAAAGCCTTATCATTATCTTAGACCAGGGGTCTTCAAATTTGGCCCTTTTATGACTTGTGGACTTCAACTCCCAGAATTCCTCAGCCAGGCACGCTGGCTGAGGAATTCTGGGAGTTGAAGTCCACAAGTCATAATAGGGCCAAGTTTGAAGACCCCTGTCTTAAACTCTACCTCTCCATAACCCTTGACAAGTAGTTCAAGAGAAAATGTCAATGGCTGAGAACTGTCCACTAAAGCATGCAAGTGATAACAATGTGAGTAGTCAAATTAAGAAAAATGATTATAAGTCTCAAGTGCAGTTTTTGACTGTGAATCTGCATGTATTGTGTTAAGTGGAAGAAGTTCTTGCTTAAAGTAAGATGAATCTACAAATGGGATTTCATTTAAGGTGGAGATCTTCCATCCAGATCTTCCTTAGTAGAACAATCAGTGACCTTACCAAGAAAGGTCAAATCACTAAAGAACAATCAAAAGCTAAAAAGGAAAAAAACAAAACACCTCTCACCAGCAACAAACACCCACATGAGCAGAGATTAACACCAAGAATAATATTAGACCAACCATCGAGCAAATAATACCCCAATCAAGAAACCACCAGCTCAGAGAAACAAGCTAACAATAAACAACAGCTTAATCAAGGCACCATCAAATCCACTCCCACCAGCACTGACAGGGCAAGCACTAGTGTATAAAATTAGAGCCAACCCCACTCCCTTCTAACACTGATAGTTACCTTGTTTGGTAATGAGATGTCTGCAAGAAAACAACCAAGCTGAGAACACAAAGATCTAATTTGTTATCTAGTTTTCCAAAAAAGCTGATTGATACATATATAATTCCTTCCAATGTATGAAACCTAGACACCATTAGCTAAGCTGAAAACAACTAAAGAGAACAACTTTCCTACATATGATTATCATAATTACCATCATCAGCTATCATCCTAGTTTGTAATATACATGGATGATCATTTGGTGCTGACCAAGAAGGAGGATGTTTTCCTACAGCAGACCATCTTTGTAGATGCGGTCTGAAATGTAGCCTATTTATTACAATTTGCCATTACTGCAAAGCAAAAATTCTGACACTCCATTTCAGAATTCATAGTCTAATTCTAAGATCAGACGGGATCAGAAAAATAGCTTTTCTGGTCAGAAAGACATTGCGTTATGACACAATGTGTTCTTCTTTGGCTCACAGGTGCAACATCACAATGCCAGAATTTGCATTGTGATGCCACAACACTGCGTTAGTCCATCTATTCCTCCTTGCATGTGCCTCTGAAAGCAGATATTTTTTTGTGCATAAAATGCAGACTTTTATGGTTCCCTTTGGTGACTTAACTCCAATGAGGAGCTCGTGTCTGCAACATAAAATAACGGGATTCAAAGCATGACCATTTCCCAGCTCAAATCTCCTTTGCATTTTCAAAAAGAAAAGGAAAAGAAAATTGTGCTGAGACTTGCAGTGGTGTAGTGACGTGAAGTGAGGAAGAAGTGACGAATTTAAAAATCATTAGACTAGTCAGGCAAGCTTCTGCAGATACTGTAGGGAAACTACTATGTAGACTAAATAAAAATAAAACCAATTTTCTCCAGCCTAAAGTGTGTGTGTGTGTGTGTACACAAACCAGAGAGGGAGAAATGATAAGAAGATCTAAATTTTATAAGGGGATTTACGGTGTTTAGACTTTGAGCATTTCCATATTGGAACCCAAAGAGTGGTTCTTGTTCTACTCCTTTTGTAAATCAGCTTCAGAGATTCCACTCTGGATTGTAATGAGTTGGCAAAGGGGCCGAGTTAATGCCAGTAGAATAGAGGGGTCCATTGGTCATTTCTCTGTTTCTTGCCTCTGTCATCTGTGCAAGAGAGAGAAGCCTCATTGGCTAGCCTCTGTTTCAGCAGGTCTATCAGTCCTAGCCTCCTTTTAGGGATTAATCCCTCCTCATTAACTCTAGTTCTTTTGCTTTCGCAGCTGTTGGTACATATCCCTCCTACATTATGTCTTTTGACACTCCAGTATTGCAGACCTTCCCTGTTTTGGTGTGATGTAATAAAGCAACAGAGAGCAGCGTCTTCCGTTTCTAAGTTTTCCTATAGGCCTGGGGAAATGTTGTAGCAAGGATGCTATTCTTGTTGACAGTTCAATTTCCTAGAAACAAAGTAATAATGGGAACTCAAACTAGTTTTTTTTTTTTAAAAAAAAGGGGTGAATGGGAGGAAGAGAAATTTTGCAGAATTGTGTATAGGGAGTGGGAAAGGAAGAGGAACTTGCTTCTTCCACCTGAGCAGAAACCAAAAGGGTGTCAACTGGGAGATAAAGGCATTGAATAGAGCATGAACTTTTAGGGTTAAGGATAGTTAACTAACTTAATGGCCCATTGTTGGATCAACCACAAGATTATTCTAAAAAAAATGTCAAATGCCAACTAGCAGAAAGCAGATAAGGCCAAAATGGCAACCTAGAGCAGTGACTCTCCACTAGGGAAAACTGCATGCCAGGCACTGCAGCCAGTTGGTGCTGGAGCTGCTACTAGAACAGAATTAAGGTCTTGAGACCATCTTGAACACCTTAAGACAAGCAGAATAAAGGTCTTCAGATCATTCTGAGCAGTGTAAGACAGGCCAGATCAGAAAAAGCAGGCTTGAATCAAAGCTGGAAAACGTGGGTGCATTTCTGATGAGTGGAAGTTACCTGTTCCTGCCCTCAGATGGGTAGCTTATACTGGTGAAGGGCTAAGCAGAATGTGTGCAGATGTATCCTTTCATAATTTGGGGAATTAACCAGATGTGTCAACTAGTTGCAAACTTGCAAAATTTGTCTGATAAAATGATGTATCACTTTGTCCAAGATAATGCATTCACTCATTTTGTTTTGTTGATTTTTTTTTCATTGTAGTCGGAAGAAGGGGGTTTACTTCAAAGCAAACCAGCCTGTAGTTTATTTTCAAGCTTTCATTCTCAATCTGATGATGATTTTATCCACCTTGTGAAAGACCCATTTCCCATCACTTATGATGGTTAGGTTCACATTGCAGATCCATTCATTGGGAGAAATTGCTCTTCCCCAGAACCTGGCCAACCAAACGGTGTCTCCTAAGGACCTCCATCTATTGGGAACTCAATGGCAGTTTTCTGTGGGAACTTCCCACCTCAGGAACAGCCTTCCCTTGAGATAAGAATGGCCTTCTGGAATCTGGTAAAACTATTTTTTTTCAAGAAGAAATCTGCAATAAACTATTTTTGTTGTTGTTGTGGATATATTTTTTTCGTCCCTGAGCCTGGAATAAGTCCACATGTTGCTATTTCTGTGGTCATCTTCAACATTAGAATCCTCCTTTAATGGGTCCCCTCCCATGCCTAGGAATGCCCCCCAAGACTTTGTAAAGCAACATAATCTCCTCATGGTCCCTAGACTTGGCCTCCGTATTTCAGACAATCCTAGTTTTTTTGTTCCTGTTGCATGATATTGTTAATGGCCTGAGATGATTGGAATGATACCATGAGATCTCAGTTTAATTTTTTTTAAAAAAATTCTCTCTGCGGAGTTTTTCCAGATCCATAATCTAAGCTGTCTGCCCTTTCATCTATAATATTCAGCTTGTGAGGTGAAGATGAAGTTGGTAAAAGGAAAACTGAAAAGTGAGAGGTGGGGACCCCAGAGAGAATATAAGCATCTCTGCTTTACAGTGAACTCTGGTTGTGTAATGAAATGTGTGGATGACCTTAGCACAGTGATGGCGAACCTTTTAGAGACCAAGTGCCCAAACTGCAACCCGAAACCCACTTATTTATCGCAAAGTGCTAGGGCTGATCAGTATTGTGGTGCCCTCAGGGGGAGGGGGGCAGAGAGGTGCCTCTGAGTGTTGCCTCTGGCATGCAAAAACTGGGGGCGCAAAAATGGACTACCATGCTACAAGGCGCAAAAATGGCCGCTGCAGCACCGCAGGGTACAGATACAAGGTGCTGCACCATGCAAGAACGGGGCAGGGCTAGTGAGTAGGCACTAGCCCCACCTCATTTGCAGGGCATTCATGCTCGTGGCCCCATGTGTGCATGCATGCATGTAAAATACTTCCCCCTCCCTTTTCTTCCAGTCCACCAATCAACAATGGTTTGTGACCTCTGCTTTACCACCTCTACCA